CACGGCGGCAAACGTTCAGGTCGGTTGAACTAAACTCCCTAGCCCGACTAAGACTCCCTAGCCCGACTAAGACTCAGTCAGCCTGCTGCTTGGCCAACCTCACTACTCAGTCCTGCTACTTGCACTGGCCTCTCAGTAGGTCTTCAGGAGAACAAAGAGTGCAGTACAGTCCAGCATCCAGCAGCCAGCAGTCAAACTCTAGCCACTTGCTCATCCAGTGGGTACTGTCTCACATGACAGGCCATGAATTCATGAATTCCTGAATTCTGGAATTCTTGCAGTCACCCCACGCCAGCATGCACCAAGCCAACACATTTCCAGTAGCTAACAAGTCTTGCAGCATGCAGCACACAAGCCGTGTTCTGATAGCCATGCTCTGAATTCTGTTCACCAGACCTCGGTGCAACATTCACTTTGCTGTATGCCTGAGGCTCCTCTCTGGCACTGAGCGCCATCCAGTTATCTTCACATTCCAAATTCCAGGGACCAATTCTCGCGTGCATCATGCAAGGCTGTCCTGCATGCTGTAGGCTGCTGCACACAAGGAGAGCTGAGGCAGACATGACTGGCCAGTCATCTGTTTGCAGTTGCCTGTCAGTGTGCCCAGCACTTGCCAAGCATTGTCACGGCCATGGCGGCAGAGGCTTCACTAGTTTCAGAATGTAAGGTGGTCAGGGTCACCCAAAGAAAGGAAAGTAGACATAAGTTGAGGATTGTTCCTACGTCACTGGGCCCTCTGCAGCGCATAGCAGGCACATGGCTCAGCACCATCAAAAGCAGGGCAGGGCAACGCAGTTCGCAGCAGGTCACCATGTCATCGCATCAGACAGCATCATCACTCTGTGGCACCGTGCTTTGTGTGGTGTGGAAGTGGTTGGTGTTGCCTCTCCCTGCGGCGGGTCTCTCCGAGCCTTTCCCTCACTCTCACTCTGGCAGCCTGTGAAGTGGTCGGTGTCGGGTGGTACGGGTTGTTAGTGCGTGTCGGGTTGATCCATGGCTGGACAAGAGCGGTACCAAACGCAGAAGGAGGGAAGCAGCCGAGACATTTTTACCAAGCGGGACAGGTGTCCTGAGAGGTTGGGCGTGGCAGGGCTTACGCCTGCACAGGCTGAACCAGCCAAAGTATCTTACAGCCAGTGCAAAAGCATGCCAGTTCAAATTCCACCTAATTCCTAAATTCAACGTCATGAAATGAAATCATGCACATGCACTCCCAAGCCTGAGCGGTACGAAGCATGCAAGCGGAAACTACCAATTCAGCACATGCAAGCCCTCTGGTAAGACAAACGCCCAAAGACTGCAGCCCTGAGGGAATTCAGACAAGTTGGAGCTATAAATTCTACACATGCACATGCACTCCCACTCCCCATCTCCAGGCTACAATTCCGAGAAAACAAGCCCAAACCCCAACCTAATGATCAAGCCTAGGGAACTCATTCCACACTCGATGCCGGCTTCAAGGGAGGCTGGGATACCGCGGCTCAGCACTGAACATGCAACATGCAACATGTAGTCATGCAGGCATGCAAGGTACGGCACTAGCATTCATTTACATCTGCCACCAGCTGCATGAGCAGCATGGCTTGCTGGAGAAGAACTTCTGCACTGGGGCTTGGCCCTGCTGGCGGCGGCTGTTGAACTTGTGGTATGGCCGGCGTGGCTAGGTGATCTGCTATGCTGAAATGCACGGGTTGCACAGCAGGCATTGTTGAGGAAGTCTGCGGTGGTGCACTCGTCATGGCAGTTGCCGTTGTTGGTGGCTGCCGAATTGGAGGCCTTTCAGGGAGGCGCTCGCGGAGTTCAGCCACAGCTTCGGCCAGGCTGTCAAGCTTGCCGTGCAAACTGCTGACCTGTTCAGCCATGGCCGTCACTTCCTCCCTCATCCGTTGAAGGATTTGTTTGTTGTCTTGGCACACCGTAGCTGTGTCCATGATTGGCCGTTTCAGCTCCGCCAGTTGGCTCAGCAACTTCTCGGACAAGTTCTTGACCGTAGCGACGACCCCTGGCATGGGCTTAACCAGGCCAAGGATTTCTCCCACTGTTCCTCCAATGTGCTTGTGGAGGTCGTCGACATGTCCATTGAGGGTCTTGTTGAGCTGGACCATCTTGTCCAAGGCCTCCTTGATGGTCTGCGCCACGGAGTCTACTGCCTTGGAGAGGGCCGCGTTGTGGTCGGATGCCAGCTGGTTTAGTTGCTCGAACCCTGTCAGCACAGCCTGCTTTGCTTCCGGGAAGCCATCCTTGACCAACCCATGGACTGCTCCAATTGCTTTTCCCAGTTTCTCCAGGGACGTTTTCAAGGACGGCGCCAGTTTGTCTTCGAAGGCACTACTGATGGCAGCTGTTAGGTTGCTGCCCACTCCCTCTTGGACTGCTGCCAGGGTCGCCTCCAACAAGTCTGCCAGAGCCCGGCGTGCATCCGCAATGAGGGCGTCCAGCTGCCCCTGTCCGTGGGTGTCACTGGTGTTCTGTGCTGGTTCCGCGGGCTGGTCACTCCGGTGGGTGCACAGCCGCTTCAGCAGCCACAGGCCGAGGAGAATTAGCATTCCTAGGCAGGCCGTCCACAGCTTGAGGTCAACAGGAAAGGCGGTGAGGAGCTCCATGTCAGGTGCTGCGCATGTAAGCTAGCTGCGTGGGTTACAGCAAAATGGCTGCAGCAAGAGGCGTATGCAGACATGCACTGTTTCATGCAATAAAGTCCCGTCTGCCACTTGCACATGCACCATGCAGTGTTAGGAAAAGAGAGGATACAACCAGGGCAACATGCAGGTATGCAGGCTGAAGTACTTACAAATGAATTCCCATGCACATGCGTATGTTCCCTACAAACCTTGCACAAGCAGATTTTTGTGACCGTCCCCCCCCCCCCCTCAGTACATTCGAGGCGTGACCCCCGCCCATTCCTGGGCGCCATCGACTCTCACAGTTACATGCCGTAAGCAGGTTGGTTACATGGAGGCTATATGAGGGGGTTTAGGGGTCTAGGGTTTAGGGTTTAGGGGTTTAGGGGTCTAGGGTTTAGGGGTTTAGGGTTTAGGGGTTTTATACCTTAGGAGGACACCCCGCCCTGTAATAGTGGTATACTAGGAATATAATAGGAAGCTAATGGATATCACGAGCATTCCTTATAGTCAGTATTACTGGGTGGGGGGTCCACCTAAGGTGTACCGGTTTTTGGGCTTTGGGTTTAGGGTTTGGGGTTTAGGTTTTAGAGTTCGGGATTTACGTTCGGGTATACCAGTTTAAGGGTGAGGACTTAGCGTTCGGGGAGACTAGAGTAACCTCCACATCCTAACAAAGCTAGGCCCATTGAAATCCACAACCTTGTGTTTGGTGTCAAACATTCAAAGGCCCGAACATGTTCCTGTACAAAACGTAGAGCATTTGTGCGACGAAATGTCCATGCCTCCCACGGCCCCCATCTACACCCTAGACGCAGCAATGGACAGGCACACCCAACTGAAGCATTCCAAACTCCCTCACTTGGAGGTCCCTTTTTGGAAGTTCCGTTTCGTAAGGGTTGTAGCGTTTTGGGAGTCTATGAGGAGACCCTGTACCAGTGCCAATGGCCAAAGCCCAGGCTGTCCATGTAACTTCTAAAGGCTTGGATTTGGATGAGTCCTTAGCAGCTTCTCGCGGGGTCAGATTGAGATTCCTGGGGCCGGGAACCCACTTAATCTGCTGAACCTTTATGAGGGGCAGTCGAAATCATGGTTTGTTTGGGGCTCTAATTCTTCTGCAGTTCTCAATATGTAGGGGTTTCGGGTTTACGTAGCAACTGTATATGGTCTTATATGACTATTTTAACTGGATTTGCTATAGGCAGGCTTTAGGGTTTAGGGTTAAACTGGGCAGGAGAGAGCGTATGTGAGAATAAGCTGGATTGCTACAGCTGTTTTGGGAACTACGAAAAAATGAGATTTGAACAGAAAGCTTCCTATCGGCCTCACAGGCAGCCGCGGTGACAGCCCTCCACTTCCCGGCTTCGGAAGTGTAAACCTGCTTAGAAGCTTAGTAGGCTGGGAGTTTCTCAAACAAGGGTGCCCGCTTTAGGGTTTAGGATTTATAGCCTAGGGATGCTTGAAGATTGTACTACTACTATAGGGGACTCCCTGAAGGATTCAAAAAGGGAAAGTTTGCATCTGACAGCTTTACAGGCTTGGGGCTAAGATAGTGTAAGTGTTTAAGTGGCGGGGTAGAACTGATACAGCTTCAAAAGCAAGGCCGCTTGTGGCTATTGCGGCAAGATGCGTGGCTGGACTGAATAGGGATGAAGTGCGGCTGTCCTGGTGGAGTCTGCGAGTTGGCCGGGACAAACGCATGGCTGAAGAGGAAATGTGAAACTTATCGAACATATCTCAACCTCCCTTCCGTATGTGGCCCTGAGTGTGTGGCAGGAAAGTACCCCCTTTCTCAGCCTGTGGGTCTCACTCAACCTACGATTGTAACAATCTCGATCAAATCAATACACTACAGCGCAATGCAGATCACAGAACCCAAATCACAGATCATAGCACTCCACCTCATCCTCCTCGTCCGAACGCTGGCACGGCTTGTTTGATGGAACGGGGCTCACCTTGATGATGGCCACAGCTTTGGACTTGCGCATTCTCAGTCCGCAAAACGATATCATGGTAGGCTGGATTCGGCGAACGGGTTGTGGCATATACCCCCTCACCCAATTATTCCGCAACATGGGTGGGGAGTTCGCTCCATCACGTTCCATTGAATAATCGAAGCTCAACAGGAAATCCCAAATCCTGAGCCGTAAGGCGCTGCAAGGTTAACCCCACCCTGCATGGTCTCGCACAGGGGCTGTGAGATCGTAAATGGACTCGAGCTCTTGTGCTTCGGTGGAGGCTGTGCCTGTCATACCTGCAGCACGCTGGGCATTATCCGACATGTTCGTAGTACCCGAGGCCCTGAATTGCCACTACGATAATTGCTGCTGTGTGTGTGTGTGTGTGTGCGTGTGCTTTCTGACTGCCAGACCCCTCCGCAGTCCAACAAAATGAGAAACGTGAAGCTCAATAAAGTTGCAAGGAGGAACTCCGAAACCCCAGAGGTGAAGGTAAAGATTGCAAGCTCTGCTAGAAATACCGTCGAAAATTGGCAGCCACCAGCAGGATAGTTGGTGATGGGGTTCAGCTCAAAACAAACCCCATGTATGCTCCCAACTTCACATTGCAGGCACATGGTCGTGGCTCAAAATACCTGTGCCAAAAACGGCCATAATGTAGGTTCCCTGTTTGTTTATTAGGATCCGGTTTAAAGGAAATGTATTCCCAATTGCCCCTTCTTTACAAAGACCTTTAGAACAACCCCCACTTACAAGATTCGAGCTGGTAGCTGGAGTGCTCTGACATGCCAGCCAACAAGAAAAACGCCAAACAACTGCTAATACTGATTTTGTGAGGCCTCTCTGAACATCAACTGTGACATTTGATGAGCCCCCAAACCATATGGTATCTTCCATAAACAAGGGACCCCAGAATAGACCCCAATAGACAATCGTCCTTGTTTTAAGGACCCTTTAAAAGGGGTCCCCCCCAATTTTGGGTCTGCCTGATAGCTTCTTGAAGAGCCGGAAGAGGCACTGGTAAGAAATTGAGGCCAGGACTACAGCCTGCGCTTCAAGATTTGGACGTTCAGAGTTGGCAGCAAGTATCCAGGGCTCAACTGAAGAAAAAGTTCAGGGCCGTGGAGCTTGGGAGGCTTTGGGGGCTCGGGTCTTACAAAGCTAGATGGCGAAGGCTGTTAGTTTCCGACTGCAGATATACACCCTATCGCAGTGCAGTAGTCCCTTCCCCAAAACTTCAACACCTTCCGTCCCCGCAATATCAACGATGTAGCCACTATGATTGAGCTACTAAGGAGAAGGGCAAGGGGTGTCTAACTAAGACGGAGAGATTTCTTTTTGAACTTTCTGGGGAGGCCCGTTGTATATACTTGGTAACCAATAGGAAGTCAGATGCAAATTTGCGGCAGCTGTAGGAAGACCCCTATGAAGTCTGGACTAATGTCTTGCAAAGGTCCACTCAGAGTCCTCTGGCAGAGCTACACACCTTGTACTTCGCTTCCTGCCGTTTCACGAATATTGGCGCCCGAACCCTAAACCCTAAACCCTAACAGGCAGCGAATTCAAACTGAAAGCAAAAGAGTTAAGCTGCTAGAATTTCGTCGCAATATGATAGGGCTCACAGGCTTTCAAGCATGCCTGAACCTGTTTTTAAGTTTTGGGTTTAGGGTTTAGGGGGTCCTGCAGCCATTTTCTCGAAGCCCCCCATACAGGCGCCACTGCTTAAAATGTCACATGGAATTCGCTACAAATTGATGGTTGTCGAGCACGTATGCAGAAGAACAGAATTTGACAGGATTTCTATGGTTTTATCGATTAAACATACGTACCTAAAACCAAGCTGAAAACCCAGGGTTTGCAGAAGCGTGGAGGCCGTGGGGGCCTTTGCAGCCAGGGATTTTGAAGCTTCGTAATTAGGCATGATGACACTGCTTGTTTGCTGACAGAAAATAATGTGCCGAGTCCTTCAAGGATCCTTTCCTGTTGGTGCACAGCTGCTCCAGATATGTTAAGGCTATCGTGTTCGTGCGGACTCCTGCATAGCACGCGTGGATGTGGAGCGTTGACACCCTTAGCCGAGATCCTCCACCGCGAGCCTTGAACTCCGAATCCCTACTTCTAGCCCCGAATCCTTCACCTCAAGTCCGCACCCAAAAGTCCCTGAACCGTCGGAAGATCAAAGCCGAGACCCAAGTCACACCGCCCTTCTTACAAAGGCCTCCGGCTGAATCTCAACACCTTCCTTGGCCTCAATGGCCTGGGACAGGGGCTTCGCACAAATTGCATGAGCTAAGGGACCACGGGTAACCAAGATGGTTCAGGGATTGTCGGGGGGAATATATGGAAAGTTCTGCCAACCTGTGTTTGAGAAACCCGCGGGACGAAGCGCAAATGCTCCGAGTTGAAAGAGTTGGCTTTGAAGGTCAGAGGCTATGGCGCGACGCACTTCCGCGCAAATCTAAGCAGGATGCACCCATCATGGACGGCATTGCAGCCATGACATTGGGTGGATGCGTCGTGGTATACATTAGGCAGGTTGCAGGATAAAGCACGGTTGGCTGTATAACTTGAGCATACATGTATGACTGTATATCTCTTGACAACTGCCAGTACAGGTAGTACTTGTGCAGGTATCCACTGCCAATGTAACAACTCTAATGTTCAGGTCATGAAGAGAGAGTAAAGAGGCAATATATGGGAAACATAAAGGCATATGTGCTTCTGCTTAAATAACTCACTAACTCTCAATGGGTTACCAGAGATCCACTACATATAACGCAGGCCGAAACCCCCAACAGCCTTCAAGCAGAACTATATAACTAGATGCTCAACCTTCCTACTGCTAAATACCTACCTTAAAACCCTGAGCCCTAAACCACCTAAAGCCTAAACCCACGGTCGATGCCGGGTAAGAACCCATGGGAGGATGTTTCCTACAAGAACCCGAGGCCCTGAGGCTTATGCAACACAAGTTCTGACCTGTGGCCGAAGACTGTGCAGGTGCGCTTTATCATGCAACCCTAGCATGTCTTTGACTTCCACAAGGGGTTGTTTGCAAGAGTCCCTGCATGTTTACTGAGCCGGGAGAACACCCGAAGGCCCATGACATCCCACAGCACAGCCCCCGATACATCAGGGGTGAGAGCTTGGCTAGACAGACTGTCTCTCAGTGGGCTCCTTCTAGAGGTAGGTACTTCAAGCGTGCTGCAATTGGGGTATGGTGTTTTGGGCAACTGGTCCAACACGTACCCCAAAAACAGTAGAACCCCAAACGATTGTAACTCTCAGTTTCCAACCCAAATGTCGCATCGCTTCACCATGAAACGCTCACATGATTTTGTTCCAAGCCAACCACGCCCCTAAACCCCATCCTCATTTAATTCCACCTGACCAAGGCCTAAACCCCAAAACACCAGTCATGGTTGCCTGTTGCAGGCCATCGCTCCAACTACGTCCGTCCACTGGACGCCCAGTGAATTCATCCACCACCACAACCTGTGATGAGAAGAGTTGGAGGGCGCAGGAAAGAATAACGGTTTCGGATTCATATACGAGTACCAGTGCTAGCCGCAGAAGCAGTAATAGAAATGGTAGGATGCGGCTTCCTAGTAGCGGCAGAAGGGCCTAGAGAGTAGAAACGGGGCCACTGGCAAGTTTGCATTGTGAAGTTGTGTCAGAAGCTTAAGAAGTGCTCATGAAGAAGAAAAGCTATCGAGCCGAAGCGGGTGTGAACATAGTTATGGACCGTGATCATGAGTTATTCGGATTCGTCTGATTGGGTGCTTCTATCAGCGGCAGGATGGTTGCCCAAAGTTCTGGAACTTGCGATGGCTCTGAGTGTGCTATGCAGAAAGCTTTCAGTGTTGCATTGTGATGACGCCAGGGATTGTGTTCGCTCTCACCCCTTCTTCCCGGCATGCACTTCTGCAATACATGTCACCAGTACAGCCCCCTGACAGGGGATCACTCTCGTCAGATCCACACTGGTGCTTCTGAAAAGTCAGGCGGACCTTCTTTATTGGGTCCTTGTAAGAAAGATTATGGTAGTGCATGTCGGGGGATGCGGGGTCCTTATAGTGAGGCTTGCCATAATGTACATTGAGGTATGCTTGGGTCTGCGGCTTGGGAATTTTTACTACGGAGTTTACACGAATTCTAAGTCGGGGTTTGAAACAATGAGGGCCCCCTTTGCAGTGACACTCCCCAAAAAAGTACCCTGAGTGATTGGAAAGGGCATGTGGTCATGCCATAGCTTGTTTTGGGTAACTTCACATGAGAAAGCTGGCGTTCTGCAGGGGGTACAAGGGAAGTGGGAAATCTATTCAGAGGTCTGCGGAGAAAGCTTCAGAATCTAGAGCCGAATCCTTAATCACACACCCCTTGCCCGAATCCTCCCAAAAGCACTCGAGCCATGCTGCCTTTCCATCTCGGACGAGGTACTGGCCTTGCTGCAGCTAACGCCCATTAGGTTTTCGATGGTGCTTTCAGCACTTCTGGAATTGCAGGCGTAAGTGTTGTGGAAGTTGGGCACATTGCGGTGGCGTGCGGGGGATTACGTGTCTCTAAGGGCACCTTGCAAACGCAAGGAAGCTGTGGGTGAGTTAGGATGGGGCGGGCGTAGGTGCATGCCTCAATTTCAAAGGTAAGGCCCCCGACAACGATATCGGGACTGCGCAGCAGTGACTGCGATGTTCTGTGTATGTACCCGTATCTCTATATATATCCCTACATATATACACACATGCATTGACACAAGCCTGTCTCTATCCTGAGAGGAGTCTGGTAAATTTTGAATCAGGCCCAAGCAAGCCCCAAAATCGAGGCTACATGATGGCCTGGCGCAAAGACAGTCAGTGGAACGCAGCCATACATCTTGGAGAATTCCTACTGGTGCTTAAGGGGGAGCGGGGGAGTGAATATAGGTACCATTATAGGGGTATATATGGGGACTAGTCTAGGGATCCACTCCCCCACCCTCCCTTAAGCAGCAGCAAGGCTTAGGCTGCAGCATGTAAGGGCCAACATACATTAAACAGCACACGCATTGACTAAAAAGTCGTTGAAACAAATCACATGCACGGTTCTTCGGTGCAGCTGGCCCTCATGTGAACAGACTTACTAAGATGAGCACCGTGATCGCAAGTGTGAGGATTATCACTCTTTATGATTCTGCTCGAATCACTGATACGATATCACTGTGGCTACGCCCTGTGTTGCTAACACCAGTACTAGCTGCCTAGCTCTTAATGTAAAGAAAAGCATCGGTCTCGCTGGTAGAGCTCTTTGGCTGTCCTTGCATTCGTAAACTGAGGCCGTGGAAGGGTGAGAGATCATCTGACATTGTGTTACAGTTTCCGTATGGATTTCAAAGTAGTTTAGAGGCACCATGTAGGAGTTGACTGGAGACATAAGGACTGGATATAGCACGCAGTTGCGTAGTGTGTATCAAACCTTTCTGCCCGACATAGTCTTCCAAAAAAATAAGGTCACAAGCCCTATGCAATGACATCACTCGAGGGCTTCTGTTTGACGGTGTTGGTTCACACGTTGCTTCGCGCAAGGAGGAAGGAAGGTGCGGAGGATAAGAGGGCTGGCTGCTACACGTGGGAAAGCTTCCACCTCTAGCCGCAGCAAAGCAGCACTCTTTCTTAAGACGTCGTGCAACAAGCATCGGGTTTCGTTACAGTTGTGGCTCTTCTGACTTCTCTTGAAGCAGAAAGCTGCGCATGCAATAATATGCTTGAAGCAAAGATGCATCAAAGCAATATGCGTCACGCAGAGATCGACAGCAATGAGATTTTTCAGTAGTGTCTCTTTTCGAGCACATTTTGCCAACCATTCGCTTTATGCATCGCCAAGCATGGAGTAGTGGTGAAAGGGAGCCATTTTTTGGCCATCTTTGAACGCCCATCCCAGTCAGTCTAACATAACGCCCCTCAATGTGGAGGACGAGGGGCAGCGAGTTGACAATGAAGGGGGCCCACGGGTCCTGGCGTCATCGGGGTGAAAGCGGGCGTTGATGGTTTACGGTTGGTCCTACTACGGAATTTGCCCCATTCCTGAGTGTGCGCAAGCAACATGGGACATATTGGGCTGTTCCTTGTAGGCACTCTTCTATACAACGTCCCTACCCATCATGTCCCTGACTGCAAAACCTTTGGACCACACTAGTAGTACATGTTGCCAATGTCTACCGCATGCAATACACAGAGGCTATGAGGGCTTCTGAGACCAGGAACCTTTTAGTGGCTTAGCCCCCACGTTTCTGATTGTTGAGGGCTGGGGCCCCTTAGCCTTTTCCGTGTCATCCTTATTGCATGCCCAGGAGAGATGCCTGACTCACGGGTGCAAGACACAGCTGAGGGCAGCCCGCATGACTGCAAACACACGACGCTGTCAGTGTGTGAAGTCTGCTTACTGCAAGTCAGACCTGAAGACAGATTTGATTTTCTCAATGCCTTGAAGCTGAACTCAACCTTACACCTACATCCTAAAGTAGTTTTCATTTTATTTTCCATTATCCCAATATAACCCCAATATTACCCTAATATTACCCCAATGGGTAAACCTACACTCTGAAACCCTACTAAACATTAATACCCATAATAATGGCCCTTAACCCCAAAATAATGGGTATATAGGCCATTATTATGGGTATTTGGGAGGTCCAGGTACACCGACATCCTAAACATTGACTTCGAACCCTAAGCCTTCAAGCCTGCTCCCGGATTTTCCCTAGAACCCATTACCCTACAGTCCCTCTTAAGTAGATAGAATACTGGGGTATATGGGGATCTTATTATAATATGCCCAACGCCATATTCTATCTACTTTCGGGGGACTATATCCCTCAGCTGACATGAAGGAGTATGGCTGGGCCTGTGGGTCGAAAAGGTCATCCTTCCCCAGCACTTCTGCGACCTTGACCTCCCCGACTTCCTCGGGTACTCTTCTGTGAGGCCAGGAGCTTAGGGGGCTCAGGGGTTGTGGTTGAGGGTGCATGTTGCGCGAAAGGAGAACAAGATTTTGAGCAACTCATGTTACTCCCCATAGATCCCTAAACCCTAAACCACTAAATGGTTTCCATCTCATTTTCCATTATCCCTATCTACCTCCAATATAACCCCGAAACGACCCCAATATAACCCCAATATAACCCTTATACAACCCCAATATAGCCCCTAAACGCTAAACCCTAAACCTTAAATTCCGAAACCCGGAGCTGTTGGCTGCTGGTATTCCTTCTGGCAGCCTTGGGCTCAAGGGCCTTTTTGGGGCAAGTTGATGAGAGGTGACAGTGCTAATGGCTTGGGCCATGGGATTCATGTTTAGGGTCTAGGGGTTTAGGATTTAGGGTTTTAGGGGTTTAGGGTTTAGGGTTGAGGACTGAGGGCTGAGGATTTAGGGGTTTAGGGTTTAAGGCTTGAGGCTTAAGATTGGGCTTTGGTTTAGCAGCCTAAGGCCTGTATGGGGCTTGGAGACTGAGGTATCCAAGGGCGTGTAGCATGTACTGTCCCCATTTGTCGGGAGTTTAAGTGCTGCTCCATTGGGGAGGGGAGAAGGTGCTGGCGATCAGCAGCACATGGCGTTGACGGCTTGGAGATGGGAGCTAGAGTCTTGACTCCCAGTATCCGCCTTCATAGCCCTATAATATACTCCTTAAAAACCCCCTATATAACCCCCTTTAAGGAGTTTAGCGTGTAGCTCATATGAAGTGCGAATGGGTTTCCTGCCTGGTTCGGAGCTGGTGAGCTCCCGATGAAGTTGCAACACAACCCACGCTAAGGTTTTCCAGGTGGGGCATCTTCACTGAATATGGGGATCTTATTGGGATAATGGAAAAGAAAATGCAAGCTACTACAATGGGGGTGCATGGGGGTTATAGAGGAATAATGGAAAAGCAAATGGAAACTGCTATGGGTAAGAAGCTGAAATCTACCTTCCCGGGCAGTGGCATAGTGCAGGGTAGCCGGAGCAGCGTTGTACACAAGTTGCTGCTGCACGTGCAGCCCAGTGTCTGTCAGAACACACGTCTTCTCCTCAGCTGCTGACATGCGACAAGATAACAATGTTTCCAGGGCCATCCCTGTATACGATTAATTATTTGGTCCTTGGCACAATGCTCCAAATGCTGTTTCAAAGGGGAGGGATCAAGTCTGACAGTAAACTTAATTTGAGGACCCTGTCAAGTACCTGATATGGTACCCATCTCGTGAACAGACGGTGAGGTGCCTTCTCCAGCACCGAATAGTCTGTTGCTTTCTCCAGTTGGCTCGCAACCTGCATTTTAAACGTATGCAAGCATTCAGGGCGCACCTTAGGCCCAGAGACCTTCAGCTTTAGTATGTTGCTGTCAGATTTGCGCCGGTTATGTTACTCTCCACAAGTGTTCAGCAGGTCTTCCTGTTCTGCTAGAGTATTCTCAAATCTATGGGCCCTTGGGGACTCCACGAAGGAAACCGCCCAGAGTACCCACCTGAAGGGCAGTGGTGTACTTCTCTGAAGGGATCGTCGACTGCGTGGACACCACCAGGGGCGTTCGACCCTCATCAATCAACACCTCAGCAGCTTCCGTAACCGGGTTGCATAGGGGATGTAGGGGGATAGCAGCTTCCGTAACCGGGTTGCATAGGGGATGTAGGGGGATATATAGGGCTTTATACTTCTCAGGGGCTTATAAAAAATCGGGAATATGGGGAATGCAAAATAACATGGAAACGACTATGTTATTTAAGGTTGACGGTGCCAATAATGCACACCGCTATAACCAAGACTGCCTAAATCCCAAAAGGCTACCTTTAAAGTGGAAGATTGCAGAATTCTTCACCCATAGCATGAACCCCCAAGTGCCCTGAGTTCAAATGCTGTCGTTATGCATGTGTCTATTGCTCGCAGAGAATGAGGGAAAGGTTCTGTACAATTATGTTCTCCTGTGCTCCGCGCGCAGCCCGCATGGAAATCCGTATGATTACCTTCAAGAGCCGATTCCTATACCCCTGAAACCCTATTTCCTAAATCCTAAACTCAAGGCTCTAAAGCTCCCGAACCGTGCATCCTAAACCCCATATTCTGTAAGCCCCAAGCCCCAACCCTACACCGTAAACCCTGACCCCTAAAACCCAATCCCTGGGCACAGAGTCCGCTTCATCTACGATGGCGCAGGCAAAGGGCTCCTGGCGTCGCACGGCGGACTTGGAGAATGTTCCAGGGTCTTGGATTTACGGGTTCACTTTTGGTACTTGGGCTCGTGGCTTGGGGCCTTGGTTGAAATATTTACCTCGGCCCCGTCATTCAGGTTCTATTGCGTCCACGGTTGTGCTTTCTGCACGCACCGGGGTTTGGTATATGTAGCAGCAATCTCTCTGATTCAGGTCGTCACTGTAGGGCGTCGCCTTGTGTGCGCATGAGTTTCCACCATCATACTTACCGATAGTAATCTCAGCGCTGTTGTCATTGCATTATTATTGTTATCATTGTTACTAGTTTTATTTGGGCTAGGGCCGGCAAGTTGCCCTCAGTCACATTTCGGTACACAGCATCCAGAATTTTCTATCAATGGAATCCAGAAGCCCAAAGGTCAACATGTACCACGGAAGAGCAAGGTTTTAGTCATCACGGACTAAAATGGCTGGTGCAATGGATGCTTTTACCCAGATACGGCCCGGTCAACGACAGCAGGTCACTATGTGACCTCTCAATCCTTCTTCACTTTTTTGAGCAGACTTAAGGCAGTCCTAAGCTGTATCAGGATCTACTGTGGACGCATGAGGTCTGGCACATCACGCTTTGAAGCTTTGTGTGCGTTTTAGGCTGGAGGACTCTTCAGTACTTGGAGGAAGAGGTGTGTTCCACAGCGAGGGTAGAAGTAGGGCACAACATTCGCACAACCGGTCGCAGCAGACTCAATACTACTGCGCGGTACTGTTGATTTTTCATGGGACTCTTCAAATGATGACCTGGATGTCGTTCATTTCTTTGGGGCTTGTAACTCTCTGAAGCCCAACTGCTTAATTAAGGTTGTGCATCTGTTGCTTTAGAGTTATGACGGATACTTCCCCTAGTTTCTCTGAATTTCGTGAAACATCCGGAATACCTGCTGCAAGTAGACTCAGTAGACCAACATGACGAAGGGTTTTTCCCCTTAACCCTAGACCAAGACTTTGCCTTTCAGCCCGACATTCTGGACATGGCGGACCTCTGATCGCAGCCGCAGCTCAGCAGGCGTGCAGGCCATTTGGTCCCTGAGGTAGTCGAAGCCTTCGAGTTTGGTCAGGGATGGTCCCTGGGAAGTCCTAGAGGTCTTCGGCTCCCCAGGGTCAAGTATACTTGTTGTTGGGATGTGCCGGCGTGTAGTCCAGCTCCCAGCTGGGACACGGACATGTGCCTTACCATGGCAAAAGGAGGTGCCTGCCTAGCCCACTTAGGCTTGGACACCCATGCTGCAAAACCTAGGTGCTGGTTACGCGTCTTTCAATCATCCAAGGCCTAGCAACATCCGCAGCAACTGTATGCTGTCCCATCGCAAAATTTGGGGCACGCACGGTAAGCAACACTGCTCAGGACCGACCAGCTCCGAAAAACTCTTTGCAGGGGCCGATGGTCTCCAACCTATCATGTGAGGCGTCTTTTGTCCATGTCGCCTCTTGGGCAACAGAATTCTGAGTGAACAGGAACCCCCCTCATAACAAACACCCCATATAGCAAGAAATGTTGCAACTTAAAACACCCGCGCATACTGGGGGACCATATCTAGCCGGCAGGGGGGCGTGGTGCATGGTGGGGGGGGTGTAAGCCGAGGCACCAAGCTGCTGGTTTGTCACGTATGTGACATCACAGGCATATGCAGCTCGCTTCTGCTCTGGGCTCATATCTGCCTGAATGACCTCAGGGGCGTCAGCAGGCAGTGCTGTCATTGTCGCTTGGAGGTGTAATAGATGTTGAAGAAAATGCTACATCTAGCTGCAAGGCCTACTGGCAGCAAGAGGCCTAACATGGGTCCGCAGTGAGGCTGTAGGATTATTGTAGGAGGGAGGGGTGGGAGGTAGGGAGAACCCTGAGAGCGACAAATCCTAAAAAAGGAGCCAATCTAAACACCTCAAGCAGAAAACCCCAAACCGCGAAAACCTTAGACCCCTCAAGCTCTACAGCTTGAAAGCAATGAAACCGCAACCAGCCCTGAAGCCCGAAATCCTCAAACCCCAAAGCCGACAACCCCGGTACACTAAAATCCCAGGACCTCAAGCCCTAAAGCCCTTTACCCACACATCCTACGAGTACAACCTGAAGCTCTTGCCCCGAGATTTGAGAGCATTGCTTGTGAATGGGGAACTGGATCACCGCTACTCCCGATACAATCACGCATGCTAGTCCCTAGAATCACCCTCCCCCCCTCCCGGCTAATACGTAGAGAGCTGAGGTTTTGGTCATGCCAATAGAGGTTGGGTAAAAACATCCCTACATTACCCATAAGTAACAATCCTTAAATATTGCGATTTTTATCTACTTCCCTACAATGATACCTACATTCCGCTTTGGGGCTGCCAAAGCCCTCTGACTCTGATTACCTAAGACCAGCAACAAGCCTGCCTAAAGTAAATTCCACCGTCACTCCGGTTTCCATTCATACTCAAGTGTCTTTTCCATCTCACTCTCCATATACTATAAGGTGAATGTTTTGAGAACCCACCCTAGACCCAAAGCCCTAAATCCTGAAACCCTAAAGCCGCAAAGCCCTAAACCCTAAACCCCTACAGCGATAAGCCTGAGTGCCCTACCCCAACGCTGAGCCCCAGGAGCCTCAGGGGTCGGCCCACCCAAGCCTCGGCTTATCAAACGTCTGAAAGGCCGAGAGAAAAGGGTTTTAGGGTTTAGGGGTTCGGGGTTTAGGGTTTAGGGTTTAGGGTTTAGGGGTTAGGGGTTTAGGGTTTAGGGGTTAGGGGTTTAGGGGTTTAGGGTTTAGGGTCCAGGGTGCTCAATAGTTATCAATTTTATTTTGATTTTCTTGAGGTACCCTATACCATAGTTATACAAGGAATCTAGGAACATACGACTGGCAACTATTGAGTTTCTACAGCAGAGGGCGGGGGTGTAAGCTTTAGGGCTTAGAGCTTTGCGGCTTCAGCCGGTATAGGTTCTTAGGATTTTGTGGTCGTTGGTGTCTTTTGCTCCCACCTGGCTCATACCAGCACCGTCTAGGGTTTATGCATGCTTTGTGCTGCAGATCCTTAATATGAACTTTGAGGCCCTCACTTACCGACAGTTGGTCCTAAAACTCCCGCACAAGCCTTTGTGCCTTATACCCGGGAATTTCAGGGCCGCAGTACACTACGCCTATGCAGGATGTCAAAAGTATCTACCCTGAATATAGCACGGGGGCCTGAATAAATACCAATATCATTTTCACGCCTACAAGGGTCTAAGTAATTTCCAATACCATTCTCACTTGTATTTGAAATACCCTAGAGTCTCCTAGATCATCAATCAGGAATGCTGGACCAACATGTTGGTACGCTTTCAGAAGGCTTTTACATTAACTCCCGAAGGCCTAGACCCTGAGCCCTACACCCTAAACCATTGTGGACTCCTAGAAGGGGACCCTCCGGGCTGAGGACCGATGGGAAACGCCTGTGCTTTGAAGCTGCAAACGTAAGTTTATGAGCTGTAGTCTAAACTCTATAAAGGCGGGTTATATAAGGGACTATATTAGGGCTTATCTAAGGGGATACACGGAGTTTAGACTATAGCTAGTAAAGCGTTGCCGAAGATTAGGAGCCTGTTTCTGGGCGTTCCTATTCCGAGCATTATAGTATTTGGGGGTCTAAATCGGGGTCCCCCTGTTAATGGAAACTACCATGTTTACATTACTGAGTCTTATTACAAAATAACTTTCTGCAATGGGAAATGTAGGTGGCTATGCGACATGATGTGCCTGTGACGTTACGTACCTGGTGACAACTCAAATTATTCTGCGCCATTCTGATTCTGAAATAGTACTATGTTGAAAATATGTGCTGTTATTGTTCCTCCAGTTCAAACTCTACAAAATGTACCATCGTAGAACTTTCTATTTTGGGGGTGATCCTAGGGCTTGCTCGATCCAGTTTGAAAGCTTTTCACTACTCAGCGGTTGGGGGAACCTTAGCAGCCCCTATGCTATCTGCCGAAGGCTCCTCCGATCCTCCTTACTTAATGTGCCTTAGTTATCACGGTAACCTAGGGGGATAGCATAGGATAGGGTAACCCATGAATACATACACACACACATGAATATACATGTATGTGTATGTGTATATGTACATTCTTTGCTACAGGAGGACTACACAGGTTACAATATTGGGTTTGCCGCCACACACAAAAAAGATGAAGGGTTTGACATGGCCGTGTTTCAAAGCCTGTTGTCCATCTGCAACGCTTTATTTCCAAAGTCCGCCCTAAACACAGCACCCTAAATCTTGTGAACCCTAAACGCTATAGCCTCCAGATCCTGAATAAAAAGCCCGAGACCCTGTGCCCCACCTGCCAAAGCCATCTACACATTCCCGGGCCCTCGCTGAAGCAGCCCTCTTTCGCCCAAACTGACATGGAGGCCCTGAAAGGGCAAGACACAGACTGCTCTCTTTCTAAAAAAAGGGGCTGAATAGGATTCCATGTTCACTTAAGGGAAAGCAAATGCCTTTTCCCTCCGCGTCTGGAACGGATTCGCTTAAGCATGACAATGTTGGGGGGACACTGCTCGACAGGATGGGCCAAATCATCTGTAGGAACCTTCCAGGAATACCCATAACCCCAATCCCTAAGCTGTCCCAGGAACCTGGTAGTGATCTGAGATACATCTTAAGAAGCAGAGCTAAAAGAATTCAAAAACAACATGTCCAGGGAACTTGTTGATCAGAAAGGGTTGTGTTTGTCATCTCTTACTGTCTTTTTTCCGCTTGCTGGGTGGATAGCATTGGACTTCCGTGCAGGCTAAAACCAACAGCTCCCCATGGAAACGAGGGAAAGTTATCCCTTACAACCCTAAACCCCAATATGCTACATAGTAGTTGCCATTTTCTTTTCCATTATCCCTATATAATCCCTATAACCTCTTTCAACCCTGAAGCATCTCCCCCAAATGGCAGAAAGTAATCCTTGTTCCGTTGCGGGAGTTTGAAATTACCAGGCGGGTGAGGCTTCTGTAAGGCTGATGGGTTCAGGGTTTAGGAAGTATATAAGGGCTATGTAGGGCCCTATCCGCTGTATGTACCTTGAAAGGCCCCTAGAATGCCCATGAAAAGGGTAAGGACATAATTCTGTTTACTCAGGCCCGAAAAAGGACTGAACAATAAGATCTCCCAGCACAATACAGGAAATTCTATGGTGACTATATAAGCGTCATTATGGGGGTTGTATAGGGGATCTAATTTCAAGATCCTCCCGGGGGTCTGGGTAGGCTCTGGGGTTCAGGGTTGACCTACGTGCTGGAATAAGTTGATGTGGTTGTTTGTCCCAAAAATGGGGGTCCCCTGTCTTGAGGAATCGGTGCTAAGGCATTGTTGTTGGTCCCGCCATTTCTGGAAACTTAATTCGGGGGTTCTGAACCGTGCGAATTCCGGGCGCAACTGTCGCACCCTCCGATTCATTCGGGGGTGCTGATTTCTGCGACCAAAAATTGTCTGTTGTCGGGCCTATGGATTCAGCTTTAAAGCCGTTTTACCCAGGCCCCATTGAATTTCTTGTAAAGCTCTGGCCCAATTTGTCTGCAGGGGGAGGTAGCCCCAGCCGCCTTTCCTACACAGGGAGCCAATTTCGTTTGGGGGGGCGACTCTTCTCGGGATCCACCATTAGCCTGTGACCCTCTTCCGGGGTCATATTCTCCATCACGATCTTATGTCCTCATGTCTTGGGGCGCACCGTGAAACCCCAAAGTTTGGTAGCCCTGGCCCGTTTAGCCTCCGACGAGCAAAGCTCAGCGCGTACTCGTGCCCTGAAAGGTCTTACCCACTTGGGTTCCGAGACACACAAGAAGAGCACAAGCAGCACTTTGCCCCAGTGCTCTGGGAAATTATCCCTCTAAATGCCCCGAAGCACATCATGGGCACAGCGTGTCTTCCCGGTACAGCTTAGGGGCGAAGGAAATGCAACAAGCCCATTTGAAATGGTCGCAAGTTCAAAGGCAATTTCAGTGAGGGAGCTTCCAGCGCTGGAGCTTATATCAGGAGAATAAGAGCCAAAACCGGGCTTACGCAATGTTCCCATGCTAACTCCCCCCCTGCGGTTTTTGCCTCTTCACTCTGGCCTAGACAAAGGCAACCGAACAGAATGGAAGCTTATTCATGTGCCGGATAATTATTATGCCAGCTGCACAGCTGCATCAATAATTTTTGGGTGTGGCTGCCAGCTCCTAAACCCTAAACCCTAAACCCAAAACAACTTTGAAGAGGTCTGCTGCACTTTCCGTGCACATTCTCCAGATCCCAAGCAGCAGGTCCACACTGACACTATGAATGAAGCAGATTTGGGGTTTCCCAAAATTAGGGGGCCCCTTTTAGCGGTCCCCATAATGAGCATCATAGTATTTGGGGGTCTACATTGGGGTCCCCCTATTAAGGGAAACTACACTTTAGGACCAAGCTTTACATCTTAAACCCTAACACCTAACCCTGAAAACTCTAAATCCTAAACCCTAAACCTTGAACCCAAACCCTAAAGGTGGGCTATTTTCAAGTTAGGGGCCGGGTAGGGGGACGTAGTAGGCCCGAGAAGTGAACAAGTCTAAAGAGCCATGGCAGGAGTTCCTCCTTTAGGTTTAGAATTCGGGTTTAGGGTTTAGGGTTGTGTAGGGAAGCTCAGTGATTTCCAGTTGTAAGCGCTCCCCCTCATATCTAGA